TGAAATGCCGTATGCACCATCTCTGTGACCAGTTCCAGGCCTAAGATAGCAGCCCGTATTCCGGCGTGGCGATCTGAGATGATAGTCAGGTTCGTCCGCCTGGTGACATGGAGCTGAATTTGTCTGAAGAACCAGCCATAGCTATCGGTATTCTCTCCCTCCACAATGGCAAAGGCTAATGGATATACTAATCTATTTGCATCTGCTCCGCTGGCAATCAGTAGAGTACCCTTGTACTTGCCGGTAAGGAATGTTCCATCAACTTGAATCACAGGAACACAGTATAGAAAACCATCAATACATGGCTTGAAGGCCCAGAAAAGACGCTTGAATTGGCGATTGTTACCAGGCGCCGGCGATTGAATTTCTTCATCTTGGTAGCAAGGCGAGAAAATGGTGCCAGGGTTAGACACCTCCAACGCCAAAATCAATTTGGGAAGGAATGCATATGATTCTTCCCAGTCACCAAACACGGCAGCCATTGCTTTCTGTTTCCCATGCCATGCTTTCTTGTAGTTAATGATATAACCATAACGACTAGAAATGTGGGCGATGATGGTTTTGACCTTCAGGTCGGGCTGCTCCTCAATTAGATGTTTGATAGCCGCGGCAACCACCCTTGATTTCAACTGTCGATGGCCTTGGGATGTTATTGATGACACACATGTGTGTGTGTTCACCGCACGGGATATGACCCAATGGCCGACTCTCTTGCTCTTGATAGCCCGGACCCTAGCTTTGCATCCCTCATTTTCATTTTTGCATCGAACCATCAGCCTCTTTGTGTCGGAATGGGTTGTTTGCCATTCAAAACTCCGAGTCATTGCTTCAGTGGAAATAGCGTGTCAGACCTCATTCTTCGTTGCAAATTGTTGGCCCTTCGTAAAGCCAGTTAGTGGACCCCATACTGGCACATCTGGCGGGTCCATGTCGGCATCATCATACCAATCTTCATTTTGAATGTGATTGTAGTATGGAATAGGTACACGGTCGTGAGCTACCTCATCACCATCTGCGTCTGAATCTGGACCGGAATCATCAGCACCTTCCAGCGGATCGTCGCTGTCTGCACTTAGTTCGCCTTCCTCTTCTTCAACCTCAGGGTCACTAACTGGACTTGGATTGACCTCTTCTTCCATCTGACTACCAGCATGAAAGGCACCTTCACCTTCACTAGCTCCGTAATGGTAGTTGTGGTAACTAACACCGCTTTGATAGAAGTTGTACTCGGGTGGGTACTGGTAGCCTGCTTGTTGGTTGTAATCCGCCTGTTGAGCTTCTTCTTCATATGAAGGGAAGGATTGATGACTTCCTCCAGTACCATGATGATACTCCTGCCTCCAGCTCGACTCTTGGAAATCCTGGTGGGGATGATCTTCGTATAATACACTCCCACCGTGGATACCAGATGTTTGGCCATCTCCAGAATGACCTACACTGCCTTCGACGACCTCGGTGTAAACGAATATCTCCGCTTGCTTAATTTTATTGGTGGTCAAAAATTGGACCATGGCATCAACGTCCTCCTGAGTGGTAAGGAGGAATTCCTCATTCCACAGCGACCCGTCATGTCTGTTTGGATATCGATACACCATTCGATCAACTCTTCTAGTGCCATCCATGCAGGTAATCTGAGTGCACATTTGATGGAGCTCTTCAAGCATCGGTCTCGTACGGACCTTCATTTTATAAAAATTGCCATCGACGTAACTTACACCCTTTTCGGTCTCTTCCGTGTAACCATTCCACCGCAACCCAAGCGTGAACCTTTGGAATGCCATCTGCAATGAAAAGTAATTAAGTTACTAACATAAAATCACAAATGACAATGAAAAGTAATTAAGTTACTAACATAAAATCACAAAGGACAATGAAAAGTAATTAAGTTACTAACATAAAATCACAAAGGACAATGAAAAGTAATTAAGTTACTAACATAAAATCACAAAGGACAATGAAAAGTAATTAAGTTACTAACATAAAATCACAAATGACAATGAAAAGTAATTAAGTTACTAACATAAAATCACAAATGACAATGAAAAGTAATTAAGTTACTAACATAAAATCACAAAGGACAATGAAAAGTAATTAAGTTACTAACATAAAATCACAAAGGACAATGAAAAGTAATTAAGTTACTAACATAAAATCACAAAGGACAATGAAAAGTAATTACGAAACAAACTTACGAATTAACGTTAATCGCAAAATCTAAATAATTTAAAGCTGAAATTTTAAGAAGGAAGAGGTGTGAAGAATTGAGTTCTCTGAAACCGCCTTTTATAGGCAAATTTTGCATCAAAACCGCTGGGGGGGGGGGGGGGGGGGGGGGGGGGGGGGAGCGGTTTTAGGTCTGCCATGCAGCCCTACACTACAGGAAAATGATTATGTAATCACGGTAAATCCCGTGTTTGAAAGTGTGTTTCCCGTGTTTAATAGTTTTAGTCGCGGGAAAATTACCGTAATATATACCTCCGTGTCTAATTGTAAAGATCACGGGAAATTTGTACCGTGACTAGTTATAACTAGTCACAGTATATTTTCCTGTGATAATTTGTACATATTAATCACGGTGGGCTCCGTGACTAAGGCATAATATCGGAGCATAAAGTCGGGAAAATAATACATTTAGAGACGATAAATGCACCTATTAACACGGTATTTACTGTGACAAAATCGATTCCCGTGACTAGATTTCAATCACTAATTACAGTATTTGCTGTGACAAATCGATTCCTGTGACTAGTTGTCAATCACTAATCACGGTATTTACTATGATAAAATCGATTCCCGTGACTAAATATTAGTCACTAATCACGGTATTGAATACCTGTAGTGACTCGTTTTTCCGTGATTGAATATATCAATCACTAGTCACGGTATTTTCCTGTGCCTGATTATAGACCATTGGTCACAATATTGTTCCTTGACTGCATACAAACCACTAGTCACAGTATTTTTCAGTGACAAGCCACTAATTAGGAAAACCAGTCATATTAAAGTTTTCTGTCAACAATAATAAGTGTAAACATAATAACATATTACCAACAATCTAAAGAGTTTCAATTCCGGTAACTAATAATTCTACTACAATCCACTTCCTTAAGTTTACAATTTCCTGTGTAGAACACCATCTTCTTGGAGACACATATTCATTGACCTCACCCCAACACCTCATCTACTGAACCTGAAAAGTGAAACGAGCTTATCATTTGAATTGTGCATCCTGATAATTGTCATATACTTGGATAGGAAAAGAGTTGAATTAAAAGAAAGTACCCTGTCCCTACTATTCATGGAACAATTACCATAGCATCTTCCATAATAACAAACTTTTGCCGAACATCTATAACAAATCAAAAAGAAGACAAATGTTAGAAAAAAAACCATATCTGACATACAAAATAAGTAGTAGCTTATCAAAAAATCAAGAGAAAATCATACCAATACATAGGTTGAACCATTTAATATCATTCGTCAGTGTTATGCTCATTTTGCAACTTGTCCATTGCTCGAGGTGGCACCTTTACAGCCAAGTGCCAGTTCTTATTAATATTGTCTTCTGCATAAAATATCTGGGATACTTGACTTGCTAGGACAAATGGCTCATTTGTCTTCAGCATTCTATTCAGATTGACACTCACAAACCCATGCTCATCTACTTTCAACCCTTTTGTCTTATTATAGACATCGCACTAATCACACCTAAACAAAGCTAATGATCTTCCTCCAAGAAATTTCAACTCAATGACCTCTCTTAAAACCCCATAGTAGTCTATAGCATTCACATCAACTCCATCATCACCAACTACAACAACTCCATTATTTTGAGTCCTCAAGTTTTTGTCATAATCTTTTGTGTGAAAACGAAAACCATTCAGGACATAACCTGTATAACACTTGACAATTTGAGCAGGGCCTCGTGAAAGTGATGTTAGGTTCATAGGATCTTGCAACCTGCAACAAAGATTTTGACACGTTTTCAGAATATAATGTAGTAATTGACCACGACATATGAACAAAAAACTAATCCATCAACAAGAATTCCAAACTGTACACTTGACTGTACACTTGATCGATCGACTGCAGCATGAATTGTATTGTAATGGAATACAAAACTGTAAACTTGATCAACCCAAAGCCCAACAAGAATTCCAAACTATACTTGCTGTTGCATCTTCTATGGATAGCAACATTAGAATGTGATTAAAGGGGAGTAATTCTATCACCATCTCTACCACTCACTTGGTCTCGTTTTCCAATTTCCACCACATGAAATGGAAACTAAATAATTAAGAACCCCTACTCAATCGATCAGGTGTATAGTTTAAATGAAGCTATAAACCAACCAGCACTATATATGTAAATGTATTATAATGTAGAGGGGGAAGCTTACCTTTTTCCTGAACCAAGAAATGAAGCTTGCATCATCCTTCTTATAGTTCCCTCCCAACAAATCATGCTCATATAGATGACTAAATTGTCTACAATGTGCAATAGCATAGCATAATTATAAATAGAAACTAAGCTTCAATAAAGTAAGAGATAAGTTAATACAATAATGAAAATCTTACTCTAAAAATGGTTGCACTTCTTCTGAATTCTTCATCACATAAAAGAGTTGTGGAAGTTATATATACTAAAACTACTCTTACATCAATAGTCAATAGTCAGAAGAGTTTTAGATACTTCTACCATCCCAAAAGCTACTTAACTATTACATGACACCCATCCAAAATCATTTATAAGATTTCAACAAACATCTAAAACTCCTAGTCTAGAGTTACACTTCATCCTATCATCCATAAGCAAAAGGATCCTCCAGAAGCAAAAGGTTAGTTGGTGTCATGAATCACATCCATACCTGACCTGACATGAACAAAAAGAATGGACAATATTAGTATCTAAACTCAAACAAAACATAATCAGAAAGGAGAAGCATCAACATGAGACTCCATAGGACAAAAGTAAAGGATACATAAGATACATGCTTGAGATTAACCATTTTGAGTTGTTGCTGGACCAGCAGACCTCTGGTTCATCCTTTCCATCATGTCTCTCATTTCAGAAATAACTTTGGCTTGCTCTGCTATTACAGTTGCCATGTCTGCCTTCTCTCCATTGGATTCCCTTAATTTACTGGCCAATTCTGCCCTGCTTAATGCATCTGAACCCTTCAAGTATTTAGGCCTCAATCCACCTCCAAATCCAATTATATGTCCATGTCTTTGTTCTCCATAGTACTCCTCTACCAATTCTATTGGCTCCAACTCTGGATTAGCTTCACACGTTTCAACAAGTCCAGCCTATCAAAATAAAATAGTTAACAATCATAAACCATAGTGAATATATATGAAGACAACTTTAAACTTAAAGATTCAATATTACATGTCTCTCTTTAGCTGCTGGTTCCTTTATTTCACCATTGCTCTTATGTGTCTCAAAAAACACTTTATCTATGGTCGGAGGACTCCCATCTTTTCCACCCTAAAAACATTACATAAATGAACCAAAATCATTCACAATCACAACTAATAAAATCACCATTCAGTTGCAGTAGAAACAATAAACAACAACAACAGCTGCAGTAGAAACAATAAACAGCAACAACACCTGCTGCAGTAGAAACAATAAACAACAACAACTGCTGCTGCTGTAGCAGTATAAACAATAAACAGCAACAACAGAAAAACAATAAAGAACTACAGAAGTAGAATCATAAACACAAGCAGCACCAGCAACATAAACAAAAACGCCAACAAGAACAAGTTATATGTGGTACCATTTCATAGAAATGTTCCGGGTTGGATCAGGTCCTTAAGGCCATTTTTTTAAGGAAAATCTTAAACCCCATTCAGCCAATAGGAGAAGGAGAGAGAGAGTGATTAGTAATGATTGGTTAACTACCTACCTAATACGTTAAAGGGTAAGTTAGGAATATTAAAAGGTAATTAAATGCCATCATTAATTAAGAAACGAGAGGAAAAAGAAACTCCTTCCAACCCTAAACCCTTTCATCTTCGTTTTCTCGTCTGCTGTGCGGCGCTTGCGTTCCGGCGTCGTCGTCCCGTTATTTAGTTTTGTGTTTGTCGTCGTCGCAAAGAAGGCCGGTCGTCGTCACCTTCTCGTCGCAAAGAAAGCGAGTGACGTCGTCGTCTCCTTCTCTTCTGCTTTCCGGCGTCGTCGGGGTCGTCGTCGTCTCAAAGTAGGCCGTCGTCGTCTGGATTCCGACTGGTCGGGGTCTCCTTTTCTTCTGGGTTCTGAAAAATATTCTCGTTTTCCGGCGTCGTCTGGTTCGTGGGTGTCCTTTAGTCTCGTTTTCCATGGGATCGTCAAGGCCAAAAGACGTTATTTTTGGTAAGTTTTTACTAATACAGACGCATCTTTGGATGCCTATATGTTTAATAAAACAGACCAGAGTTGTCAACAATTTATGTTAATAACTTGGTGTGGGATTAATAATAATGCCTTCTTTAACTGTTAATAAATATTGTTTTTTAATTAATAATCACACTTAGTAATGATTGGTTAACTATTCTGTTTTAATTAATAATCAACTTTGCATGTAATCAGGTCATTACTATTGTTAAACATATTATCAATATATTCATAAACGAGTATTAATAAAACAGGATAGTGTTGTTAACATTTTAAGTTAATAACTTGTTGTGGGATTAATAATAATCCCTTTGTAAACTGTTAATATTGGTGGTGTTTTAATTAATAATCAACGTTGCATGTAATCAGGTCATTACTATTGTTAAACATATTATCAATATCTTCTTAAACGAGTATTAACCGATAACACCAATTTATTAATAGTACTTTTTAACTGATAATACCAATTTATTAATAATCGAAGTGTTTAACTTAATAATCCACTTTGAACATAAAAATGTTCGTTGTTTTAAATTATTAATTTAAAAGGACATGGTTAATAGTAAAGTTTGCATGAATAATTTCATTGTCGATTTAGGTTAATAATCCAAGAAGGGAAGATTAGTAATGAAGTGCTTTGTAATTGTTTATTTAATAATCGGAGAATGAATATTAATAATGAAGTGGATAGTTGTTAATATTTAAAGGTAATAGTTTTGTTAATTTGTCAACGTTGCAGATCTGAATGAAGTACCTTGTGATGTCAACCTGGAAGGTGAAGATATTTCCAATAACAATGACTTAAGCGAAGACGAGATTATCGTAGAAAATCTATATGCGGAAGGAGAAGGTTAGTTGACTAATCTTGTATATATGTGGAATGTTAAAACTCGTGCAAATGACATAATGTATTCAATGTTGCAGGAGTGGTGGATGATGTTCATACGAATGATGGTAGTGCTATACCTGTCATGGACATTCGTGATTTTAATATTGATAACATGGGTAAGTCGAATTTATAACAATCTTATTAACAAGTAAACAAAAAATGCACCATTATTAACTAATTTCTTGATAATTTCTGTAGAGATTGATTTGGTTGATCCTGCAAATGAATCGACATGGATATAGCGTAGATTTGTGTCCAGGGATCATGCAGAGTCATTCTATAAAGAATATGCACATCACAAAGGCTTTGGCATGAGGAAGGAAGGCGCTCCTAAGAGGAACACAAAGAATGAGTTTTGTGAGACTGCTCACTACATCTATTGCGCATGTACGAAAGGAGGCTACAGAAAAAAAAGCGCGAAGAATCCAAAGAATGGAGGACGAATTGATAATACTGTTCGGAAAAGGAGTAGGGCAGAGAATAGATGGGGGTGTCCAGCGAGGATGAACTTCAAGTTGGATAAACGAACCAACCTCTATTACATTGATGATTGGGTAGATGAGCACAATCATGAGATGCACGACCCATCGGCCAAGCATCTCCATCGTTCTAACAGGAATATCACTGAAGCACAACTTTGTATTGCTAAAATGAACGAGGCTGCAGGTATAAAAACACGGGCTAGCTATGCTACATTCTGCTTAGCTGCTGGTGGTAGGGAGAATGTTGGTTTCCTGCCAGAGGACTTGAAGAATTGCATTAGAACAGTGAGGGCGAAGACAATGGAGTATGGGGTGGCCACATTCCTGTATCGACACTTTCAGGAGGAACAGAGATGTGATCCCTCCTTCTTTTATAGGGTGTCAGTGGACGTGAACGAGGAGATGTCTGCAGTATTTTGGGCTGATGGAAGAATGAGAATGGACTACCATCACTTTGGGGATTCAATAAGTTTCGACACCACCTATCGAACGAATCAAAATTGTCGCCCGTTAGGTATGTGTTTGGTACCATTATTAATTATATTATACTCATTATCAAGCTCGTGCATGTAGACTTGTAAATTTTTAAGTATACTATAATCATTAATAATTGCCCATAATAATAATTATCTAGATATATTGTACTCTGTTAATAATTACCCATAAAAGCATTAATACTTTAAGTAAATGACTTGTGGGTGTTGGTCATTGGCCATAAAATCGTTAATACTATAAGTAAAAATCTTAATAATGTAAGTGAAAAGATTAATAATCTTGTTGTGAATGTTGGTCTCATGAAAGAATTGATGTTAAATCAGTAATTACACTATACAGATTATCAATTTTTTACTATGAATACCGTTCCATAAATAATAGGGTCTTAAACTCGTTATCAATTTTTTGCAGCTCTATTTGTTGGATTCAATCACCATAGAAAACTCTGTGTGTTTGGAGCTGCACTACTGTATGACGAGACTACGGAGTCGTTCGAGTGGTTGTTTAGAACTTTTCTGGAGTGCATGTCTGGAAAGAGACCAACATCGATCTTCACGGACCAGGCTGCTGCAATTGCTGCTGGTATTAAAAGCGCCATCAATAACGATATATCGGATGAGAAGACTTTTCATGGGCTTTGCACATACCATCTTAGAGAGAATGAGAAGGACAAGAAGGTTTGGAAAGGTAAAGTGGCTGAATGTATTAGCTACTTGATGTATGATTTGGAGACACCCGAGCAATTTGATTTCCACTGGGAAGAAATGATGGCGACAGTCTCAGTGGGATTGCCAAAGAAGCAAGTTAGATGGTTGAATCGTATGTTTAAGGTGAAGGAGAAATGGTCAGCCGCATGGGTGAACAAGCAATTCACTGCTGGAATGCGGAGTTAACAGCTGAGTGAGGCATGCAACTCCGTCCTCCGTGAGTTTTTGACCACCGATGAAAATCTACACCAGTTTTTCACACAATTTAACGCGATGTTGGAGATAAAAAGAGCTCAAGAAGTGCGCAGTGATTATGATGCGCGCGACCAGCTGCAGAACATCGTGGTACGTTGTTAAATTTATAGCTATATTGTAATCTGTTAATAATTGCCCAAAAAAATCAGTAATACTGTAAGTAAATGACTTGTAGGTGTTAATAATTGGACACAAAATCAGTAATAATGTACGTAAATATGTTAATAATGTGAATGAAAAGATTAATGATATTGTTGTTAATGTTGTGTGTTGATATTTGTAGCTATATTGTACAAAGTAAATAATTGCCCATAAAAGCTTTAATACTGTAAGTAAATGACTTTTGTGTGTACGTAATTGGCCATAAATCAGTAATAATGTAAGTAAAAATTTTAATAATGTAGGGGGAAAATATTAATAATCTTGTTGGTATTATTGTTTGATAATAATCCAAATGATTAAGCTAATAATATTTTCGTTTTTATTACTGAGTTATGGCCAATTACGTACAAAAGCTCCATGTCGAAGACATAACCAATCGAATTTTTAGTTGATAATAAGGTCGAAAAATCTTGGTAATGTAAACAATAACATTAATAATTATAAAAATTGGTATTATTTTTTGTTAATAATCCAAATGATTAAGCTAATAATAATTTCGTTTTTATTGATAATTATCAACTGGCAGGTACATCAAAGTAATTTCCTTCAACAAGGAGCTAGCTTCTACACGCCAACTGTTTTTGAAGAGTTCCAGGAGGAATATGCTAATAGTCATGCCTTCCATATCGGTATAAATGCGGAAAGACATCAAGATGACATGGTTGCATATGATGTCTGGAAAAGCGATGAAAATGATGGATCGAAGTTGGACGAGAGGGTTGTATTCGTTGATGTACCACGGTGCATTCTCAAATGCTCGTGCATGAAATTTGAGAGCTGTGGTTGGTTGTGTCGGCACATACTACGGTTCATGGAACTAAAGGGTTATGCAGAATATCCGCAACTGTCAACAATTCCGTCGAGCTACCTATTAGACCGATGGTCACGTGCTGTGAAGACAAAAGGCGGTTTTGCAACATTGAATTCGAGGCCTACATTTGAAGGTATCCAATGCTCAAGGGTGAAGGAGGTAACTGGAATGGTGAACTTTATTGTAACAAATGTATGCATGCATGATAGCGTATACGAGTTCCTACTACAAAGTCTTCACACTATAAAATCCCAAACAGAAGCAATGCTCAAGGACACCCTTGCACCTCCTGTCCGACCAGGTTAGAAAAAGAAAACGAGGACACCCTTGCACATATATATTATTATATATATGTGTGATCAATGTCATATGTTTGATCATTTGTTTTTGTACTGTTGGCATAATCCAGGGTCGGACGATGAGGGTGAACATCCTTCCACTACCGTCTTCAAAGAGAGGCCTGACCTGACCCGGAAGAGGAAAAGGTTGAAGAGTAAACAAGCAATTGCCAGGGAGAAGAGGGCGAAGGATTTCAATAAGACAAAGAAGGATAAGGAAAAGAAGGCTGCCAAGAAGCAGAAGGTTTAACCATACATGAGGTGTTTG